AATGTTCACCAATAACACTGATTTATTTACTGCTGACTTTGATCCGTCTTAATGAAACACCCTTATATATAATCCGTCTTAATGAAACAGCCTTTATGATCTACCAATCTAAGATCAACTTGAAAAAATGACGACAGTTACTGCATTATTTGTTTTTAACTTGATATATATATAAATGTGCGTGTGTTCGCATATGTATATACAAATAATTTCATGAATTTTATTATTAAATATAAACGTTTTAATACTCTTTCTTTTTATATTTATTCATTGATTGATTTTTGTGATAAAAACGTCTCTTAATTTCTATATAAGAAATTCTAAGATGAATTTTATTTTATAACCATCAATCAATCAATCAATATATATATATATATATATATATATATATATATATATATATATATATATATATATATATATAATACCAATAGATAATTAGTAGTGATAATTCCAAGGAGGACATTAATCCAAAGAGAGTAACAGAACAATATAATAATAACAAGTACAGACGATCCTTAAAAATCTATTCGATTATAATTTATTCCATGAATATACAAATATTCATCTCTTCAGGCAGAAGGTTTTTTTGGGGTTTTTTTTTTAATAAATGGAGTCAATTTATCCAAACGAAAGGAAAAGGAGAGGAAAAAAGAAGAAAAAAGAAAAGAATTTTATTTTTTTCAATTTCAATATAAGGTTTTTAAAAATTGGGGGTGGAGAGAGAAAGAGAGAGGGGAATAGAGGTGGAGGGGAGAGAAGGTGAGAGAGGGAGGAAAAGAAAAGGAAGACGGAAGAATTAAACAAGAGCCGATAGGGTGACCTAGAAATTATTTTTTCTTTAAGGACTGAAGAAGCTAAAATACAGAGTAAGGGAGGGGAGTGATCAGATTTAAAATAGATACACTGAATTGGCTGATATTCATGTCATTTTCGACAGCGCATTAGAATCATCGCAATTTCAAATTATTAATAATAATAACAATAATATTAATATTAATTGACATCAATAAAATAAAAAAATGAAAAAATAAAATATATAAAAAATACATAAAAATATATACATAAAAAATATTAACCATCCTTTTCTTTCCCGCCGTCTCTCACTTCTTCCCTCTCTTTCCCTTCCCCATCTCTTTCTCCTCCTCCTCCTCCTCCTCTCTCTCTCTCCCCCGCCCAGTTTTTAAAACCATATATTGAATTTTTATGTTTCTTTCTCCCTCTTCTAATATTAAAATTTTTCCTTTTCTTTTTTCTTCTTTTTTACTCTCCCTTGAGGAGACACGGTGGAGTAATGGATAGCGGCTTGGATTGAGGAATCGCAGAGCCGAGTTCGAATTCCAGTCGAATCCATTACATTCACTTACGTGCTAATACCCTTGGGAAAGGTGTGAATCCTCTTCTTCTCCCTCCAGCTATGGGTAAATAGCAGAACAGACTGGATTCTATAGCCTTGGATGGCAACTGGTCTAGGAGAAGGACAACTCTGAATTCAAAACCTGCGGAGGGTCGTTTGGGGACCTTGTGGCAATGTAGTTCTCTGTATTCGGCCCTTCAAAAAGTGTGGTTGGTCCTACACGAAACCTTCACCACTATAATCAAATCTCATGTGCTGTTGTCGGTTTCCTGGGAAAAGATCTGCTTGACCCTCATATGTTGAACTCGACGGGAGAGTCGACGACTACGACTATATATATATATATATATATATCTGAACGATAAAATGAGAAAAATATAGTTTTAAGGTGCGGTGGATAAAAGTGATCTATATCAGGGATAGAGCGTACGTTAAATAATAAAAAGCACCTGTAACAAACGAAAATAGATTTGACACGCATAATATATATATGTATATATATATATATATATATAGAGAGAGAGAGAGAGAGAGATGTCAAAGATACTATGAAGCCAAAAATGCCGACATGGGATATTGAGATAAAAAAAAACTTACAACATATAAAAAGGAAAATTCGAAAAAATATAAGCTGTAAATTGGTGATATCCTCTGAAGGGTGGATGACAGGTGCAAGAAATTGCCAAAATGAATACATTGGAGAAACCTCAAGAAGTTTAAAGAAAAGAGACTGTATGGACACAAAAGGAACATTTTAAAAAAACAATACACAAAACGCATTGGTTGTTCATCGTAATGAATCTGACCACAATTTTAATATAGGGAATGCTACTTTGACTAAAAGAGAAAATAATCCACTAAAACAAAAATGTCTGAAAAATGCCTTGATCCCTAGTTCAGCTACAGTAAGTTTGCGTCTCAGGCTCTTAAATATATATCGCCATTCTTGGTAGATTTTCTGTTGTCACAATGTGAGATAGTCAGGAAGAAAGGTGATGGAAAGAAAAAGAAAAAATATACAGATAAATTTGGCTAGATTGAAAAAATATTCTTTCAAAACTTTTGAAACTATCAACTTTTCTCTTTTTGTGCGCATGTGTAGACGTGGCAACATCAACAGTGGCATTCTAACGGATGAAACTCCTCACAAAAACTTTTTGTCCTACTATTTTTGTAAATACTGTTTGTTGATATATAAAATTATGCAGAATTATATCCTGTTATATCATATATATATTGTTTAAAATTATGATCTAATTATGGTATATATATATCGTCATCCACATAGAGACTTTCGCTGTATGACAGCTCTTCAGTGTGGCTAGACGTCCGATTGCTCTAAGCTGGGATCGAAACCTGACCGATTTGGTATTAGTCAGAGATCCTACCCCTAGGCAATCGTTGGACGGTTGATATGAATAATGTGTACATAGAAATTAGTAAATTAGTACTCTATGGTTACTCTAGTTTCACAACTTCATCAATCATCTGAAGAAGCAAAATTGTCAGTTATCATACCGAATTGTTTCTATTTTTCACCTTTCTTATAACTCTATACGCCATATACACATACGCGCATGCATTTATAATTATGCATATGCATTATTTATATTTGTACACCCTTCCACTTCAATTTTACATGTGCTTATGAGAAAATGTAAACATGATGCGCATCTATGTCCACGCGTATATGTGATTGTGAACGTTCAAGTGTATATATATATATATATATATATATATATATATATATATATATTAAGAGAAGAAAAGAGGAGAAACGGTTTCCTTTACGGGCAGATATAATTTATAGCAGATCTATAGTTCATGAAGTAGTTTTACTTTTCGCCCGCTTTGTCTGAAATCTGATAATGACCAATAATTTACAGCCATCAATCTTTCTAAAATGTAAAAGATTCTTTTCTTTCAGATAAATTAGAAAAAAAAATAGATAAATAATAAACGAAAAACAAATTAAAATTAGTGGCTCTTTACTTGGCGCCAATGAAATTAGAGAATAGAATCCTCAAAGCAATTACAAATTTAATATTATGTAGTTTTAAGCAATATATATATATATATGTGTGTGTGTGTGTGTGTGTGTGTGTGTGTGTGTGTGTGTGTGTGTGTGTGTGTATAAGTATACCGTAATTACCCATGTATAATACACCTTCATCTATAATTTGCACCCCTAAAATTAGGCTGAAAGTGTGGGAAAATAATTCTACTCATAATACGCATCCCTTGTTTGGTAGTCAAACCTTATTGTACCTCTTCAGTTTCATTACGGCCAGAGTTTCCTACCCTTATACAGGCTGTATTGAAGAAATTTATGAAAATTTCCGATCATCACGATTTTAATAGGAAACGGAAATACCTATACCGTGCCTACTGCGCAGACTCATTAACCTGAAGCAACAAGGTGGCGCCCATAGTTCGTTGCATAGGTTTTTCACAAAAAATGGTATTAAACATAGGATAATATTATTCCAATTTAGTTTTATGATAATTCTTATTTTATTTTACATTTGTATTGTTAGGTACACATGATTGTATTTGACATCCTTATGTGTTCGCAATCGCCGAATGTAAGTGTCAAATTGTCGTATGTTTGTGATGAGTAGTCATTTTGCAACAGGAATCGACCTATGAAACGGTAAGTTTTTAAAGATGTTTTTGTAGCTGCGCATTATGCGCACCTTAATTTTTCCTTATTATTTTTTTAAAAAAATGCGTATTATTCATGGGGAATTACTTTTTGAACCAACGTTAGTATAATTTGTGGCGTTTTCAATTCAAGGAGAGACAACACGTCCATCTAAATTTTCAGAAAATTAATGGATTCCAAGCATATAATGAAAAACTGAAAAAACGTAAATATTGCATGTGAGTTTATGGTAATTCTAGTCTGTCTATGTGGGATTCAGATGATAATGTAAATTCCTAAGTGTGTGGGTGTGTCTAGTAGACATTATGTTCGCGTGTTGATTTGTGAACGTTTTTACTTACGTACAGTTTGTTTTAGTTAAATATAGGTTAGATTCTTTAAGAATTGATTCAATAAAGGTTCGTGTTGTAACTTAATGTCTTTAACATATGATTATAGTTAGTAATATTGTTATTAGTTGGCTCTCGAAGAACCTTCTACGTAAAAACTATTTTATTATTTATTATTTTTCTTTAATAAAGATGGCATTAGTAAAATCAAAGTTATGGAAAAAGCTGTTCGAATGGAAACTTACTTCTCACCCATGGAATACGGAGGCAATATGGGTGGTTTGCTACAGTGGGCGTGGCATGGCTGGTCCTGAACGGCGGATTCATTAAGTAGATGTGTCCAAATGTGTCTTAAAGTTATTCATGCCAAATTTTCTCAAATAAATCTCTTCTTTCATTGCTTATGCGTTTTTTAGTAAATTCATGCAAATGTTTTCAAAGTATAGTCAGTTTAAATTACATTTTAGCTTAATAAGATAAGAAAAGACATATGTTTAATTCATCTACTTTCTAAACCAGGGATCAGCAACTTCTTTGCCCCCATGAGCCGGATCGCGTAGTAATGATGGACAGCTCACCAGGCGAAGGCTATAAAAGAATAATTATGGAAAATTACATACGCTAACATCTAATCACAAATGTTCAGCGTGATTTGACCGTAAGCAAAACACCGGTTCTCGTACGATCACCGAAGTTAAGCAGCGTAGAGCCAGGTCAGTACTTAGATGGGGGACCACCCAAGGCGGACAGGTCTGACACACACACGCCGGCTAACAAGGGCTCTGGTGAAAACCCAAGGAGCGTCTGCATCGGTAACCGGCGGCTTCTGGTCGTTCCTGTCTCTGCGTCTGTGGAACCCCGCGGCAAGCAAGAACGTTATCCGAGTAGGCCTGGGTACCCTACTTCTGTAATTTATCCCAAGAATCTTCTTCTCATAACAGGAAGAAGCCGGGTCAATCCGCCCAGGGTGAATGCCGCATCAGTACAGTAGTAATCACAAATGTTGACTATACTTAAAAATAATTTGTATTAACCACAAATGAATCAAAAAACATCATTTATTCAGTTTCAGGCATCGTTAGAATCATTTGCGTAAAAAAAACTTAAAAATACATAGCAGCCAAAAAATTAATTTAATTTTGTTTCTTGAAAGATTCTCAATATTAGGCTTCAAATTTTTTTTCTCTTCTTTTCTCTTCTTTTTTCTTTTTTTCTTCTTCTTTATTGCAATTCTCTTCATCTCTCTCTCTCTCTCTCTCTCTCTCTCTCTCTCTTCTGCTTTCTACTTCTTTACCTATTCACATTTGTTGATGTCCTTACTGGTTCCTTTACCCAAGTCAATTCTTTGCCTTCGCGGGGAGGATCAAGTGTTAACGACGGATAGCATGCTGAGCAAAGGCTATAAAAGAATAATTATGGAAAATTACATATGCTAAAATCTAATCACAAATGTTGACTATACTTAAAAATAATTTGTATTAATCACATGTGAAGGTAGTAATCGAAAAACATCATTTATTCAATTTAAGACACCGTTGAAATCATTTGTTTAAAAAATCATAAAAATACATAGCTGACAAAAATTAAGGAGGAAACTTGACGTTTCTTGTTCCTTGAAAGCTTCTCAGCATTAGGCTTCAAACTTGTTGATGCCAAGAGCAAGATATTATCAAGATGATTATCAGTTAATCTTGTTCTCAAATTGTTCTTTTGTTTCAATTGGGAAAATAATTGCTCACACTGATAAGTGCTTCCAAACAATGAGTTATTTTGCATAGAAATCAATGAAACATCTTTAGAATTAAATTTATATCTTAATAAGTCGTCACACTGCATATCAATCAATTCCATTTGAAAACATTCTGATACAGTCTCCACCTCCACATCAAATGGTAGCGCGAACAATTTAAACTGATTTGCATGCAGACAAAAGTCAGCAAAACGGGGTGCAAATTAATTTCTCAAATCCGGGATTATATTCACAAATATTCATGAATTCTGTGGTTTTCTTCCTTGAAATAATGGAAAATTCACATAATTTTTATTTCGAAGTTGATGTTCCCACAACTGTAGCATTTTTCCAAAGGCAGCAATATGATTATACATTTCATTTACGAGCTAAGTTTTACCTTGAAGTTGTAAATTTAAGTTATTGAAATGAGTCACGAGATTTTTTTAAAAATGCCAATATTATGAACTTTGTCACAGAAAGTTAATTTTTTTTCTTTATGCTATTATTCTTCATAATAACGAAGATTTTGATTATAAAATTCATTTTTTAATTAATAATTTGTGTGTTTTTTTATAACACATGAAGTATGTTAATACCGTCGTGTGAGAAAACAGAAAAAAATGAATGTAACTACTAATTTACCTTCTCTGCTCTCCAGAAATTTGTCCATTTGAAAAAATTAAATAAAAGTTTAATATTTTGTCTATGACATTATTCTTCATAACAACAAATATATTGACTTAAAATTTTATAAAACATTATTATTTTACGGATATTTAAAAAAAATATCCAGAAGCAATTAATCATGTTGTATCAGGTTGCATGGTGTTAACAACCAATAATTAAAAAACTCTAAAAATTAGAGTGGGCCAATATCTGCACTGGAAAATCTGCAACTTCTACAGGAAGGAAACTGAAAGAAACTGGTATGAACGCCACCCAGACCCGGTTACGGAGACAGGACCTGTAACAATTTTATGGAACTACACAATACACACATACAGAAAAATCAATGCTAATCGCCCAAAAATCGTTATTAGAGAACAAAAGAATTGCCTCCTTATTGATATGGCAGTCCCTGCAGACTGCAATGTATCTTTGAAGATCTTCAAAAAGCTATCAAAATAAAAGGACCTTGAAATCGAAATCTCAGAAATGTGGCATATGAGAACATCAACAATCCCTATTGTAGTTGGAGCCCTCGGATTGATTGGAAAAGATCCCAATAGACTAATTGAAGGGATTCCTGATAGTTCATACCTTAAAGAAATACAAAAAATTGTTCTCACGAGTATAGCCCACACTTTACGAAGGGCTTTATCTATGTAAAATATGTGCGATTTTTTTTTAAATTGCTCAGTGGAAAATGTTATGATGCCATTTCCGACCTTAGGTCTCTGCTCGAGAACCGGAAAGAAATGAGTATACACCAGAATTCAAAGGAAAAAAACTAATAATAATAATTATTATTAATTAATTAATTATTAATTTGTTAATTATTATTATTATTATAAACTGCAATTAAAGGCACAGAGAACAATATGATATGAAAATCGTTGTAGGTTCTATCGATAAACTAAAATATTCCAAACGGACCTCAAGAAGTTTTACAGGAAAACTGGAAAAGCAATTATAGACGTCAAAAAGCCACCATCTGTTGAAGAAGTGCAATTTTTTCAGAGAATATTTCCAACAACCGAAAGGAAAAACTTTTCAAATATAATGATCTAGAAATAGAAATTGAGAGAATATTGGGTATAGATACTAAGACAATACCAGTTGTAATGGGAGCACTCGGTCTGATCCAAAAAGGAATGTCAAAATACACCAACAAAATTCCATACAACATCAAGATACAAGAATATATTAACTAACATATTAAAAAGAACTCTATCCAAAAAAATAAATTAATTAAACCATCATGGTAGCCACAAGTCCAAAAATAAACTTGGTTTCGGTGAATGAACGAAGCATGATATTATGAAAAGATTGTGAATAATAACAGCATTTGACGATGCAGAATGGTCTATTTTCTTGGTTGATGGAGTTATTGTTATTTGAAACTAAACTCAAAATGATCACAACGACTAACCTTATGCCAGAAGATACGCAAATAAAGGGACGTTAAGAAAAATAAACTAGTTTGCTCATGTCATAAAAAATAACGCTTATTTATATATATATTTCCAATTATTATTTTTATTGTACTCGACTCTTTCACGGAGTCGGTCTTTTCACTTCCAGGCCTTGTTTAATCTGACATCTGATATATTAAAATGGACACTGTCAGTTGGCGACGTCATGGCAAATGCAATAAACCTAGTAAAACAAAAATGATAAACTTTACACTTGGTGTTTTGTATAGCTGACCACTCGTATACGACGATGCCCGTCTTCTAGGGCGGCTAAACAATCCCTATTGCAGACGCTTGCCCAGGCGCATTTGTGTACATTCAACACCCACAGAGCCCACCTTTATACTGCAACTATGCTTAGCAGACCGACCTTAGTTACATTTTGTGATAAAGAGCGTGTTATCTGTTGTGACCAAAAATTTGAACAAGACCGACACGCTCAAGCCGTTGGCCACGATGACTTTGGACTTCGTGCTAGCACAGCTATCGACGCAGTTTCAATCACAAGGCTTGGGTCAACCCGTGGTATGGTTTTCAGGCACTTTCCAAAGGTGCCGCACGCTGGGATCGAACCCTTCAGTCCGATAACATCAGGAAGTCTTCTTCCTGACAAACCGAGATTCGAACCCGGGTCTTATGGTCAGAATGCGAACATTTTAACTACTCGTCCACGTGCTCATAACACTTGGTGTATTAGAGGTTAAAAATCAAATCATTAGATATAAAAGTATTTATTCCGCAAAACCTGTATTGAAAAAGAATCTAACTGTATGGCACAAACTAAAACATGGAAACAGCTCATGACTCAAACCCGAATCGAGTGAAACAAATTTAGAAAGAAAGTTCTATAGTTCAATGGTTGGCAACCTTTTGCTAACTATATACCGACTTAGGGCTTTAAAATCATTCAGCGCGCCAACAGCATACGTATTTTTATACAAGTCAAGCTCAATATACCTGTTCTACATTATATTTTATATAGTATTATATAGTGTATATACTTTAGTATATATTAAAACTGAAACAGCTAAATATCTTCTTTGCGTTGTAGTAGTTATTGGGTTGGACTTCGTGATGTCATTTGCGGCTGCGTGCCATTGGAAATTGCTTGGCGTGCCACGTTCGGCACGCGTGCTGTAGGTTGCCGACCCCTGTTGTAGTTTATAATAAAGAGAAATAAAATCAAATAAAAACCGAAAAATCATAAGCCCCCAAAAAACGACTAATTCCATCCCTTTGTCCTTATTTCATCTTTAACCCAAGATTGAACTATTAGACTGAGTCATAAGTAATTTCCGTTTTAGGAACCAATTGTAATAACAAATATAGCATTCTAACTAACCATACCTTTGAATCTTTCATAACAGGCGATGAAAAATGGGTTGCATATGACAATGTCCAACGCAACAATGCTGATTGACATGGAAAATCTCTAAATTTATATATCCAGCAGCTGCCATAAAACTTTGATCGAAAAGCATTTTGCTCTCGTCAATAGAAGAAAAGGTTGTTCTCCATGACAACGCAAGACAGCATGCATGGAAAATAATACACAAACAAAAAAAAGAACATTTTTGGAACCCGGTTGGTCTGTTCTACTCTATGCACCCTATTCACCAGACTTTGCACCAACCGATTATTACCTTTCTCGATCACTGCTAAAAGCTTTGATAGGGAAAACTCTCTCTAAAGAAGATTCAATTCAAGAGTTTGTCCAAAGCTTTTTCACATCAAAACCTGCGGAATTTTACTAAAAGTGGCAACACGTCATCACAAATAAAGGTGAATATATAATTGAATAAAGAGTAACTGTACTTTTTTTGACGAATAAAACTGATAAACAAAAGCGGAAATTATTTATGACTCAATAT